GGGGGGGGGGGGCGGTCTGCAGGGGCCCCAAAGGCCAGGAAATGCCCCTCCCTGAGTCCCTCATGCCTTGGGCCGAGGCTGTGCCCCACACTCCAGGCCCAGGCTGCGGTGCTGCAGAGGCCAAGGCTGGAGCTGGGTCTGCACCCTGAACCCGCAATCACTCCCCAGATCTACTTCACCGGCTGTTCCATGAACCCAGCCCGCTCCTTTGGTCCTGCTGTCATCATTGGGAAGTTCGAAGTCCACTGGGTGAGACCCTCAACTGGCAGCCATGGCAGGGGAGGGGGGCCGAGAAGGGACAACCCGGACAGGCAGACAGGTCTCTCTGCCACAGGCCACCTTGACCCCTGAGGGAGGTTTCCCTGAGCTCAGAAGACTAGGGCGAGGATCCTGGCTTCTCCTTCCTTTCTTCCCAGCATCAACAGCCCGGGCACCCAGTACATTGGCTAGAAATGGGCCAGGCGGGAACCGCAGCCCCAGCCTCAAGCCCTGGCTGTTTCCTTATTCACTTTCTCCAGCTGGACCGATTTCCAAACTTGGATAAAGAGAAAGGCACCCAGAAATAGAAACGCACAGTAGCAAAGGCAGGAACAGCTTTAGCCAGGGCTCTGGGATGGTACAGGGGAGGCGAGAGGAGGGACAAAGGGCGGTGAGGAGACTGGGCCTGCCCTGGAGGAGGCAAGATTCCCTCGCTTTCAGGGACTCGGGGTGGGGCGGGCAGGACTTGTGCTTCTCAAATTTGTCACCTTTTAGACAGCTCCAGGCTTCCTGGGAGACCAATTCAACACTGGGGAAGCAAGCAGGGGGCCCAAAGCCACCCGGTGATCCTGATAGCTCACAAGCCCCATGCCACTTCTCTCTGCCTCTTCAGATCTTCTGGGTGGGACCCCTGACAGGGGCTGTCCTGGCTTCGCTGATCTACAACTTTATCCTGTTCCCTGACACCAAGACCCTGGCCCAGCGGCTGGCCATCCTCAAAGGCACCTCAGAGGTGGAGAAAGTGGTAGGAGTGGAGCCCCAGGAAAACGAATCCCAGTCCAATCCAGGGGACACCAAAATAGAGACTGTGTATCAGATCGCATAGAACTTGGCCCCTGCCCCCAGCTTCTGAGAAGAGCCCTGTATGTGGGCAGCATGCCTTGTATGACCGGATTTCAGGTTTTCTGAGGGGAAACGGGTTTTTTAAGGGTGTGTAGGAAGGCTTGGCCTCTTGTCCTAATAGGTTGGGCAGGGGATGCCAATCCCTCTCCCAGGTATTACATTTCTAGATAGAATATGGGGAGCAAATCTGTTCAGTTTCCTCCTCCTACATCTCTAAATGGGACAGGGCAGAAGGAGGCAGGGGAATTTATGACTGCCCTCCCCCTAGCTCACCCATCTGGACTCCAGATCTCCAGGTCTTGGAAAAAAAGGAATTAGAGCCCAGATAGCCAGTCTGCTTAGATAGAAGACTAAAGGGACCTCAGGGAACCCCAGCTTCTTACCCTCCTCTTGGGAAGGAGGGGCCAAACCTGTCAGAAGACTCAGAGCTCCTCAGAGGGATCTCTGCTCTTTGGTGTGGTTTGGGGGGCTATGGCTACCCCTTCAGACTGAGGGCTTCCTGAGGACAGTGATTACCCTCCCAATAGATGTTCACTCCTCGCTCCTCCAAATGCTCAGGAGAGGCCCCCATCCTTGGGGAGGGCTGGCACAGAGAGGAAACTTTTCTTGGGTTAGCAGAGGGGCAGGCTATAGGCAAGGGTGATTTGAGCCAGAAGGGCCTTTTCCAGGGCAAGCTCTTCTAGGTGCTTGCCCTCCTCCCACCCCACAGTCCCATTCATAGGAACAATTCTGAGGGGGGAAAGCCCCAGCCCAGCCCTTGGTCCATGTCCTGGGCCACAGAAGCTGTCTCCAGCCTCATTTTCAGATCTGCCAGGACCCCCCAAAAGCTGTTGAATAAGTCCCAAGGATGGTGGGAATGACCCAGGAAACCAAGATTTTCAGTTCAGTGCCTCTGAAGTACTACCTGAGTCTCAGCTGGTTTGTTAGTTAGTATTTACAAGGTGCTAAATCGACTGTGCCCATGACCTGTGGTCCTATCTGGATTTCAGCTTCCTCAACTATTAAATGGGCACAAGCCTCCCCCAGAGACTGCTGTGAAGACAAACAAGAAATTGGAAAATGTATTTGGAAGTTACAATGTTAGAAAAACAAAGCCAATAAATGATTATTGTTGCTATTACTGTAATTATTGGGTTTGAATACAATTGCTGTTGGTAATGGGAGGGAAGAAGGGAGAGAGGGAGATAATTGAGAGGGAGGAAAAGAGTTTTTCTCATTTCATCTGCTCCCGTTATGGGGGCCCTGCCTCCTTCTCTGCTGGACCTACTGACCTGGGAGTGTTGTATGTGCCAGGTGAGTGTGTGTGGAGCTTTGTGAGGAGGAGGGGGGTTGTTGGGGGAGGACCCTGGAATGAAGAGACAAGCCAATAAAAGTCAGTTCTTCTCATCTCTATGGCACCCATCACCATGGTATCCTGAGATGCAGCAACCAAATCCATAAAGTAGATAGGTCCTTTTCCATGATGTCTCCAAAGGGGCTGGGGGTTGGGGAGGGGCTGCCAAAGTCTTCCAAGGGCTTGGGTGGCAGGGCCCAGCCTGTGACCAGTACAGTAACAGTCCCCAGCACTCGTGGTCACAGCAGCCGTGCTCACAGTTCTCTGATACTGTTCACATCTCTCTGAGCTGGGCCACACTCATCCATCTTCATGATCTTTCCAAGCCCAGGGCTTCTTGTGCCCTTTTATGAGCAGGGACAGTTGGGCCTGTGTGTGTGTGTGTGTAGGATGTGATTGACTTGCTAAAGGTCACCCAGCTTAGTACCACAGCCCCCTAAGGTCTCCCCAGCTCCCAGCTTAGAATTTCCCAAAATAGCGCTCCAGGGGCCCTTATACAAGCTGCAGCCAGAGGATGGAAGGAGGCAAGAACTAGAAGGTAGAAGGGCT